CTTGTATTGAAGTATCATGTTGAAGAAATTCATAGCGATCAATCGATAAGTCGTCAGGTCCACAAAGAAAACTTAATGGATCTTGGATAATTGAAGGCATACATGCTGTCGCATACATCAATATAACGTTTAATTGAATACACAGTGCAAAACTAATAGAAAGTATTTTATCAGAAAGAAGAACAAAATCAGTGCCAAAACTGGTGATTGTGATAACAAAGAAAGCAAAAAAACACGACGATAAACGAACAGTTTGATGATATGTATATATCATGGCAATGAAAATCGATGAAAGATAAACTTCTACTAATTTAATCGAGAAAGAATGAACATTTATGCACATTTGAAAAGAACAAGATAAATCTGTTCGATTAGAACAACCTTTAGGTGCAATTGCTTTAAACGTTATTAAACGAGCATTTGTAAGACAATAAAATTTATAGATATCACGATTACGTTCGATAAAGTATACTAAATGGATGAGACTCAGCGTCAATATGATATGGTAGACAAGAAATTGAAAGGCCATAATGCAGATTAATTTTACTATACGTAGATCCATATCTCCTAAATGAAATACAATAAAACAATTGTTTTTATATGAAAAAACTTTGATTCGAATTTCAAGATTTATTATATGATATAATGGAACATTTTTACTTTAAACACACTTATCATAGCGCCCTCACCCTCACATTGTGACGTATATGTGTAATTTACACCGATCAATGTGAAGTGTGTTTAAAGTAAGAATGCACCCATAAAAGAAAAGATCTAAAAGAAGAACATTATTACCAGCCATTCAGGCTTACCAAATCTCCTGATGTCCCTTGATTTTTAGTTCCGACAGATTCGATTTTAACGGCAATTAAGACCAATAAAAAAATCCAGGAGAAAAAATATAACTGCTATAGTTAGAGACAATAATCTTCTCTCAATACTGAAAGTACGTTCAATTCATCAAATGATTTCTTTCCGATAAGACTTATCTGTCTGTTTCGACGAATATTTACTGCAAGTGACGTTTAAATCATACAAAATCTTAACAAAATGCTAAAGGAAGTCAGACCAAGAATCATCTTATTGGTGGCGAAGGAAAATTTGAATAATCGGTTATTCGAACTTTTTATTTATTTTTACGTTTGTTCTTCCTAAATGTTCAGGAACTATCAAAGCAAATTTTTCTTACCAGAAAAATGTAAGCATGCTGCCAACATCATTAGAATGAAATTCTAGATATCTTACTTTAAATTACCGAATCGTCTTATTTTTCGGTTTCTATCATAGTCTTATAAAATAATTATGCCTACGTTTTCTTTTTGATTAAATGTACAAAAAAGAGAATATCATCACAATAAAATACATTCAATTCCAATTTAACACGTATCACAGGAAAATATCTGAAAGAATAAATCGTAAGACCTCTTCGATGAATATTCTAGTACAGCAGATAAAGCATCAGAAAGCCTGACACCATTCGCATTCACTCTATGAGAATGAGATTAGATGTTCCTAGCAAAATTGATTCTGAATTCAAAGTAAGAAACGCTCAAAACCAAAAAAACATAAAGTTGCTCAGGTCAGTAGTTTTCGGTGTTCTTTTGACTAGTCTTCGGTTAAATTTTTCTGGTGATCAAAGTCATGTGGACCCGGCATTTTATAGCAATCGACATAGATGGATTTAAAGACAGACTTTTTTGATATTTTTGGGTATACAGCTAATTGTGGTTCTTGTTCGTTCATTTCATCTATGAGATAATGATTACAATTACCCCAGTTGATAAAGATAGGCCACAAGAATCTGTAACAGTGACCATTTTTCGTCCCGACATAACTGTCCACTACCTTCTGATTTAGCCGATTCTTAAAAAAATATTCGTGTTATTCATCGATTTTATGGAAAAAACTCCTAATTTTGCTCCTGTGTTTTCAGAAAAAGATGATTATTCCATGAGATTCGAAGAACCATGCACCTTCTGAAATCCCGGCAGATATACTACCATTATACTCGAAAGGACCGTTTGTATATATTTTCTTTCATACGATTGTAGTTTAATACTACAATCCTAAAAAATATACAAGCGAACCTTTTTTCTTCGACTTTCACATTTAAGTTTCTGACTCATACGTAAGTTTGTCTTTTTTTTTATAATAAAATAATAAATGATTAGATTAATATTTACGAACAATTCAACATACCCCACGAAAAGTTCTTAAAGACAGGATGATAATCAGCTAATGTACGAACATTATTCTTGACAGTTGTATTCATTGTTTGTTTTGATTTATTGATATTAATAGTTGGTGGCCATGTGGATTTCCTTTGTTTGAATGTAAAAGAGCTTCTTATATGTATGATGGGTCTGCTTATGACCTTATTAATTGTACTTGCACATGTAGCATGACGTGTAGAATATACAACATCACTTCGATATTTAATTAACATAGTAAAATCGGAGGAATTATTTGATTTTTTTTATCTATAAAAAAAAATAAGCAAGCAACTTTTATTTATTATATTATGTATAAAAATTGTTTCCAATATCTTTCTTTCTCTAGAAAAGATTGAAAAAAAATTCTCAACTTGACCCCATCTACTTATAATATAGACATTTTCTTGTTGTTTAATTTGATATTTTCTTTCAACATTTACTGTATCTGTCTTATTTATTTCATATCTAAGAAAAAAAATATATATTGTAACTTTTAACTACTTCAGAATCAGTATCATGAACAAAACCATTTATTGATCTCTCGTACATATATGTAAAATAATAATCACTAATGGTTATACTCTCTATATAGGAGGTAAACTGCATAGTTTCAATGGTTTTATGAAAGGATGATAACACTTTTCGAGAGATTATCATCGAAAACTTTGATCGAACTATTCATATACCAATAGTTCAATAGGCTTTTTTTGTTAAATAAAAGAAAAAATTATTTCTATCTGTATTGCTAAACATGAAACTAGTCGATTATCCTAGTAAACAACGTCTAAAAACGTGATCATCTGAAAGAAAGTTTGATTGCATTAAAAAAAGATTTTATTAATATGAGATTTTTCTAGCTGTTATTTGAGATGTATATTAAGATTGACCGAAACAAACTCTAAAATTGATATAGATATTTTTTTCATGATTGTGCATGTAGAGGGTAAAATAGTTAGTCCTATACATAGACACATGATTGTAGTTATATCTTCTTTTATGACTAGTGTCAATCTTAGTAGAAAAGTTATTTTTTACTGATTTTGATAAATATTATTAATAAACTTCGCTTTTTCCTTCGTTGTTTTTTTCAGTATTCATATAATAAAAAATATCTATGAAGAATTACATATTTGAATTCTTCATTCATCTTTGTATTTTATTCTTAATCCTTGAAATAACTAAGTTTTAATATTTATCATCATATACCTATTTACACAATTGTCTACATCGAAACTAGTACCATCTTCCTTAGATATATACACGTATATATATATATGAGTGAAGAGCGCGCCAATTGTACCGTTTGGGGAAAAAAATCGAAAAAAATAAATTTAATGATAAAGGAAAGTTAAGTGTCGTATTTAATAGAGCTATGTCCAATATGTATAAAAATAATATTTTCCCAACACTTCCCTGTGCTGTAGTGGAGATTCACGATATTACAGCCAATTTCTATATGCTACATCCATTTTTTCAATAAATTTAGTGTATAAACTACTCCCATAAACAATTTGCTAGTAAAATTATTTTACGTATCAAAATTCTTTTCCCTTAGCACTTCACTTGATACTGAATGAAGTTTGTTTAAATACAATTTATTTAAATGAAATTTTGATGATTTTAACGTCGCTCTACACTTTGTTAGTAAAACTGAATTTTGTCTCGAATGGAGAAAGATTTTTGCTTGATTTTCTGGTATGTTATTGTGCTCAATGAGATGAAAAAGGGTCAAATTTTTGTCGCAAACCGTTTAGTTTTCATCGAGTTATAGCGATCACAAAATTGAAAATGTCGCTCTAGCTCTACAACTTGTCTGAATATAGCTTTTTTTAACTTTGTATAAAATTTTTCTATTAACGAACTTCATGAAGCAAACTTCTTTGTCTTGTCAAAATAATTTCCCTTTATTTCTCTTTAATACCTAATCAAATTTGTTCAAATGAAATTTCTTCGGTTGAGATAAGCTACATTCACACGATACGAAAGAATTGTTATATTCAACGTTAATCGCTGATCTAATCGATTATAGCAACATTTATTAAATATGTCTAAATATTATTAAAATAAAATTTATTTTTTTATGAAAATTTCTTCTTTTGAAAAATTCAATTGAATTTATTATTCAAAAAAGAATATGAAATGAATACAAGGTTTTATTGGATAATGTGATTGGTCCATGTTGTCAATTCCAACAAATCGGGGACAAGTGGAAATCCATATAAGAATCTTGAAAAGGCATCTGTTCTTCAAGAAGTATATTATCAAACTTAGTTTGGTTTTTTTTGAATTTAAATAATCTATTTACAATAGGCTCGTACATTTAATGAAACTCCTGTAAATGCACGAAAATGTATTCAAATATTAACAAAAATTATTTATATGATCAATCAAGTAAGAATAAATAAATCGTTTTTCTTCGACTAAAGACTTATCTCACACTGTTATTTGCAGCCAGATATGGTAAAAAAAAATATTTCCGTTTTTTTTTCTGTTAATGGTGAAAACTGAATCATTTTTGGGGGAAATTTGTTCGTTATTATTTAGATTATTTTTTTTAATTATTTTTGAAATAAACAAATTTAAATATTTTTATTTCAAGGGAGAACAATTAGGTCAAATGGAAGCAACAGAAACATTTTTTGCTATGACAAAATTATTTCAATCAAAAGATGTAAGTTTATTTCTTTTTGGAGATTATTGAATTTTTTTTCTAAAGATTATCCTAACAATAAACGTAGTAGAGCGACTAGAAATAATTTAAATCGCAACATAACTACAGATAGTCCTTTTAGAAATTCATTGATCATACATTAATTTAATCCTCTTCAGAATAAAGATGCATTTCACAGCATCTTCATATGATCATTATTTCTGTTCGATATATTTCAACACGATTTCATAGAAAATTCTTCGACCTTATTCTTATAATATAATATGATCAAATTTTCTTTTATTTCGACAATTTTAGGTGAAAATCGAACGATATATTTTTTTGTTGTTGAGAACTTTCATATCAGACAACTTGATCATATTACACACATATATTTGTTAAGCAATTTAAGGAATTAGTTTGTAAAATATAAACAACATATATCCAACGATATCGTTCAAGTTCTACAATATACATCTCTACATTGGATTGAGAAGAATCATTTTATTTTTAATTAGAGTTTTATGAAAAATTTTGCTATAAAACAGATCGAAATAATTATTAATCGTTATCTTGATGAATTGTCTCGTTTATCTCTATATCATACTAATCGATCTCTTTTTAATTTCATTTCGGATTTTCTAAAAACAATGAAATTGATCACTATTTATTTATTTATATAATAAGATGATGCTTCGTCGTATGATTTATTTATCATTAAAAGAAATGTCAACAGTTGCAAATTATGTTATTATTGTAACATCAAGTTTAACTCGTGATATGACTGAAAAAGAAGATTCTCATCGTGGACCAGCTATGCGAGCTTTATGTAAAATTATTGATGTATGTATATTTAAATATAATTCGAAACAAAAAAAATATTTATTTAACTAAATAGGCATCAATGATGCAAAGTGTTGAACGATATATGAAACAAGCAATTGTTCTGAAGTAGTTAAACGATAGGTTAATGAAGTTCAAGAAGCTGTTAATAATGATAATATAATGGTACAATATCATGCACTTGGTCTTTTATATCAAATACGTCGAACGGATAAATATGCTATTAGAAAATTAATTGTCAAATTTTCTAAAGCTGGTTTTCGAAGTCCATATGCATATTGTTTTCTGGTTAATATATCAATTTTTTTTTATAATTAATTCAATATTTGAATTTTATTTCTTTAGATTCGTATTGCAGCTAATCTTATAAATGAAGAAGGCGAAGAGTAAAGAGAGAACATATCAACAAAAGAAATAATTAAAATATTAATTTACTTTTAGAACGGATAGTCCAATGTATGATTTTATTGATTCATGTTTACGTCATAAAAATGAAATGGTTATTTATGAAGCTGCATCAACAATTGTATCACTTAAATGTGTTACACCAAAAGAACTTAGTTCAACTGTTAATGTTCTTCAATTATTTCTTTCATCCCGTAAACCTGTTTTACGTTATGCAGCTGTTCGAACACTTAATAAAGTTTGTTTTATACATTTTACATAACAAAAATATAGAATTCTCTTGAAATTTAAAGGTTGCTATTCAATATCCAGCATCTGTAACAGCTTGTAATGTTGATCTTAAAACATTAATTACTGATTCAAATTGATCAATTGCAACATTAGCTATAACAACTCTTCTTAAAGTATTTTTATTTTAATTAAATAATTTAATTTGTTTTTCTTTTTTGTAGACGGGTAATGAAGCAGATGTTGATCGATTAATGAAACAAATCTCATCATTTTTATCTGAAATATCAGATCAATTTAAAACAGTTGTTGTTGATGTAATTAAGTAAGAGATAATCACAAAAAAGAAAATTTTTTTTCTTATCATTAAATTGAATATTTCAAAGATCATTATGTCAAAAATTTCCACGTAAACATACTGTATTAATGACATTTCTTTCAAATATGTTACGTGAAGAAGGTGGTTATGAATATAAAAAGGCGATTGTTAATACAATTATTTCAATTGTTGAAGAAAATCCTGAAGCAAAAGAAGCAGGTAAAAACTAAGTAATCGGATTTTAATTTTTTTTGTATATGGATTTTATGTGAATTTATCGAAGATTGTGAACATACATCATTAGCTACTCGTATTCTTCATTTATTGGGTCGTGAAGGACCTCGTACAACAACACCAGCCAAATATATTCGTTATATTTATATTCGTGTTATTCTTGAAAATGCACCTGTTCGAGCTGGTAACACTTTTCTTTTTTTTTAATATTTATTTATTTCTAAGTAATTAATGTTGTAGCTGCTGTAAGTGCATTAGCTAAATTTGGTGCAGCTTCAGAAGATTTATTACCAAATATTTTGGTACTTTTACAACGAACAACACTCGATCAAGATGATGAAGTTCGTGATCGTGCTATAAAGCACTTAATTCAGCTTATATTCTCAATTGTAAGTATAACAAATTAAATTAAATTAAATATTTTAATATAGCAATGAATGTATCATTATCATCACTTGAACGTCTTTTACATCGTTATACAATTGAACCAACAACAAAACCATTTGATGTTCGATCTGTACCTGTTGAAGCAGTTCCGGTTGAACAACCTAAAGGTTTGATATTCAAATTTGATTTTATTATTTAAATAAAATTGTTTTTTTTTTTTATAATAGATATTAGTATTGGTGTTGATCTTCCACGTTCAGGAATTGAATCGAAAACAAATCGAGAAGATACTTATGATGGTAAGTTTCACAAAAAAATAATTTCTTTCGTCAAATTCATTTTTCTATTTCTTAGAACAATTATCTGCTATACCAGAATTTGCTCATTTGGGTCCAATATTCAAATCATCATTACCAGTTGATTTAACTGAAAGTGAAGTCGGATATGTTGTACGATGTATAAAACATATTTTTAGTCATTATATTGTTTTTCAAGTAAATATTCTACTGATTCCTCTTTTTTTTTTTATTGAATTTTTTAAAACTTAGTTTGATATCAATAACACACTAAATGATCAATTATTAGAACGAGTAACTGTTCAAATCGATGGATCAGCTGAAGGTTTTGAAGTTGTCCATTATACCCCTTGTCAAGTTATTAAATGTAATGATACGGGTACAACTTATACATTAGTTAAATTACCTGATGATTCATCAGCTGTAACTGGTACATTAGCATGTACAATGAAATATACAGTTAAAGATTGTGATCCAACGACGAGTGTACCAGATGATGAAGAAGGTTATGCTGATGAATTTGTGGTTTGTATTTTTATTAATTTCGATTATTTATTTGTCATAGCGTTTTGTGTTTTGTTTTTAGCTTGAAGATATTGAAATAACAGTTAGTGATCATGTACAAAAAGTACTTAAACCAAATTGGTCTGCTTGATGGGAAGAAATTGGAGCTGAAAACGAACTTGAAGATACATATACATTATCAATTCCAACACTTGAAAGGTATTATAAAATTATTATATTTTATTTTTCATTTCATCTTATGTTTATTATAGAATGTGTGAAGAAAATAATAAATTATATGGGAATGCAAGCTTGTGAACGATCAGACAAAATTCCAGAAGGCAAAGCATCACATGCACTTTATTTAGCGGCTGTCTATCGTGGTAGACATGATGTACTTGTTCGAGCAAAAATGGCATTGGATGGTACAACAGTATATCCAGGAGCACAAGCTATTACCATGCAATTAACAATACGTTCGACAGATGGATCAGCTGTGCAAGTTATTGCTTCAGCAGTCGAATAAATAAATAAATAAATAACAAAAACATTCATACATTTTATTAGCATACTTTTCTGTTTTGTTGTGTGGTACTTTTTATCGATGTGCGAGTGTTATAAACTTATCATTCTCTTACTCTAAATAATATACACAGAAACATACTTTTTCCATCGATTATTATTCCATCGTAGTGCCTAATTTTAAAAAAAATCAATTATTTTGACAAAGATTCGAAGCAAGCATTGACCAAGGCTAATAGAGTATATAACTGTTTTTTTTCTTACTAATTTAACTTTTCTATCCATCACTCAGTAACATAAAGATAATGTTCTATTGGACATAGTGTTAGTTGTTTTTCATGTCAATATCTAAACTTAAATGATAGATGACTTTCTTTTGCATAAAAAATACAAACATTGTGCTTTTTAAAAAGCTGTTTCAATTTAACCAATCCAAGTTGAAAGAAATTGAAAAGTATGTATGACGATTAGTATTACTACAAAACTGTTGTCAATACTATTTAGCATGTTTCTGAAGAATATTGTGAACTGATCTTTTATCAGTTGTCGTTACAGGTGTAACACATAAAACTGCTTGCATAAAAAGATTAGCATCAATTCTTCTTGGCTATTTTCGATTTAATCAATTCGAAAAACAAAGCTTGCAAAATTTTGTCTTTCGATCGGGCTAATAGTAAATAAATGAGATCTTCTGTATAGAAGCGAATTGCAAGACTTTATTTTCGCTTTCGAAAGAAATTTTTATTATCCGTTCTTAAGTTCATCCCATCACAAAGTACGGACTTTTACTTTGCACTTATAGAAACATCGATCTTCATAAATGCTGTGCTTCGCATTGCATTAAATAGACTGCAACAGACATACGACATCTATTCAGACGCATAACTCGACATATTGATAGTATCATACGAAAAAGTTATTGATCGCGTTCCATAAAAAAAAACTGCATGAAGAATTATATGTGATATGATAATGGACGAAAGCAAGGATCAAACGAGTTGGGAACATGATGCGTGAATAATCTATATGAATACTACAAACGAAAAACGGCTGCATTTCTGCGATTGCTTGCTCGCATAAAGTTCCATTGATCAAATAAAAACTATGATCTAATCGTTGATAAGGTAGTATGACGTGAAAAATTATAACCGCGACGAACTAACTGATTATTTCGTTTGTTATGGGTCCGAGAAAAAAAAAGGACGTCACTAGAAAAGAAAATAATATTGACCGAATTAAACGCGAGCACGAAATGATACGCATCAATTGATTACATATGCGCAATATTTACATGTGATTCGTAGATTCGTTTTATTGTTTCTGTTTTTCATTAATCAAGGACTGACTTAAAGTTTAAAGAGAAATACAGATGATATTTCAATTCTTAATAATCTGCCATTCTTTTGTTCATGGTTTATTTATATAAAGTTAAACTAGGGATGTGCAGTTTCGGTGAAAACAATGAATTACTGACAGTGATACCACTGCACTGAGCGCACTGACTGCAGTGACACACTGACACTGGTGTTCAGTGAATCAGTACATACATTGACACTGGCGTTCAGTGAATCAGTACATACACTGACACTGGTGTTCAGTGAATCAGTACATACACTGACACTGACGTTCAGTGAATCAGTACATACACTGACACTGACTGCTTCGGTTGCAGTGTCTGCACCGACATGGTGTTCACTGAATCAGTGCATACACTGACACTGATTGCACTGGTTCCACTGTCTGCACCGACATTGGTGTTCACTGAGCCAGTACATACACTGACACTGACTGCACCGGTGTCAGGGTTCACCGGAACAGCGCTGCTTACTGAAGTATCAAGTCGCTGACTCTATCAAAGTATGCACTGCTCATGACTTTATTTATGACTGTCAATGAAATTAGCGAAATGGCCATACCTATTCCTCCAGAAAATAGGATTCATTTAAGTAATCTATAATTTTGAATAATAAAGTCGATTTCAACGAAATACGACTCTTATAGTCCTAATATTGACACATAACTACGGGATTTTCATACTATGGGCTATTTAATTTCAGTCTGAATTTATCAAATAAAAATAATACTTGATTTCAAACTGAAACGTGAGTCTAGGAGTGAGGGAGGGGGGTGACTGAGGGTGTGGGTGTTGGTCTGGGACCCACACACACACCCACACCCATAGTGCGGGTGTGGGCGCGCCATTGAGGGTGAGGGTGTGCCTGTGGTTTTGTGTACTATAGGCTTTAGTCCCCTGCACATGGGACTAAGCGGGGACTAAGCTTTTTGTGGGGGAGACTAAGGGGGACTTTGCAGGACTAGCGGGGACTAAGGGTTTTTAGTGAGACTACGTAGTATCAAGCGAGAAAAGTTTGATTCGGAAGAAAGTGGTGTGGTTTTTTTGATTTTAGAATTCAGTTTGAAATAAAAAAGCCCATAGACTCGGGATTTTATTACTCAACCAGATTCATTTAAAGAAGATGAGAGTTTCTCAAAATTTATGTGGACTTTGTAAAACCATTTGTATCGTTACGATTACATAAATTTTTGGCTTTATTTACTCTTTTTTATGCAATGGTGAAAAAAGGGTATGTACGTGAAAGTGTATGTAGCTTATCTCCACCAAGAAACCAAACTATTGAGCAGATATGCTTCCATTCAATGAAATTGTTTTGTTCATCCGCATATTACAGGTAGAAGATGCCGTCGTCTTCTGTGTATAAATTCTAGTCAATGGAAATCAGTATCAGTACGTCAGTGTTCCAGTGTGCGTCAGTGCAACAAGTGCAGTCAGTGTCAGTGTATGTACTGGCTCAGTGAACACCAATGTCGGTGCAAACAGTGGAACCAGTGCAATCAGTGTCAGTGTATGCACTGATTCAGTGAACACCATGTCGGTGCAGACACTGCAACCGAAGCAGTCAGTGTCAGTGTATGTACTGATTCACTGAACGCCAGTGTCAGTGTAT